CTGAATTTCGTGCAAAACGCGAGCTAGTGGTACAGTCGAATATACGTACGTTTACAGGTACCTTTATGATCCAGTCCCTGTTCGAAGAGAACTATAAATCCTACTAAGTCATTTTGCGTGTACATGTACATCTGACGGAAAGGGCCATCAAAGTCGCAAACGCTCGTACCCACGTACTCCTCGTGGTATAATAGTTTTGTTGTAAATTACAAATGTGCGATATGTTTCACGTGATTTTGCATTTTTTTTTCGTCAAATTTGCCTGCTTGGGTTTTCTTGTTACTGAAATTGGCGGGATAATGAATGTTCGAAAAGTAGAAGAAGAAGGAAACGAAAAAAAAAATCTTATTCTCACCTGGATTGCTAACGATCTCACAAACGGTTATACTGTACGTGAAAAGAAAAATGTCTTTAAAAATAAACTAAAGTATAAAGTGGTGAGAGCATAATGTATATTATACACACTTGTGATTTTTAAAATTATTAAATATTTTCTGTAACTCTACATAAAAATCTACTTTTTTTTATTCTTTCTTCCTAAGTAACTGTATACGTAACCGTAAATCATTAAAAACGTAAATTCAAGAGATTACAGAGTAAAATTAATTGAGCATGTACGTATATGTTATACGTTATTTCCGCACCTCGAGTGCATGGCTATGCACATACATTATTAATTTCGTTATCAATTATCAATGCAGTGCGATTTATCTTGGCGCGCCACGTAACGGTGCTTGCTCGAGTCTTTCGATTTGTAAATTTGTAGAGTTTAATTACGGAATGATCTTTCGAGATTTATCGTACGACTCAATATGTTCGAGGGGGCCATTTTCCCGGTGAATCGGTTAGTTGATTTGTAATAATAATACTTACGTATATAGGTAACTCCAATTCGCGAGGATCGCGAACAAAAATATACACGCCTTCCGATTCTAGAAAAAACTAGTTCTGTCACACGTGACGTACCTGCATATGCTCAAGCAAAAAACAAATTACGCTTCGGATCCGTGTTAACTCGCGCGTCGGTGCCCAGTACACGTCGTTATCAAACATTGTCAATTAACCTCCGCTGCCAGTGTGAGAGAAAAGAGGGGAAAAAAAAAAAAATTTCCTCTGCTATCCCATCGCATTCCTCCTCGTTTCGCACACATGCGCCCCAAACAGCACATGCTCTCCGCAGCGTACGGGCACCAGCTAATTATCTCCGGAAGAGCTGGTACACGGCGATAAATCGCCAAGCGAGAGATCCTCTCGGCGGAAACCCCCCCCCCCCCTCATATGTACCTATACACCACTCTTTGTTAAAAAGAGAATTGCGGGCACTGCGTCATTCGTCTCTCTCTGCTGTATATCCTGCGGGATTCTTCGCAGCTCAGCCAAAGCGAGCGGATCTATCGGCGGATTTTCCGCCGAGACCTACATTTCGCGCGGCAAGATTTAAGCGAACCGGAACGACGCCCCCCTCCGCCGTGTTCGGTATTGGAAAAATTTTCGCCCACTATTTTTTTTTCGTATCGCTACGTGTATAGGTGGCGATGAAATATATACGAATGGTCCTCTTCGAGAGAGAGAAAGAGCGACAAATGTCGACCCGTTGAAAACAATTGCGCTCTGTTGAGAAATTGGATTTCGCTGGGCTTGGAAAATGGAAAAAAAAAAAAAGAAATGTTAATTAATCGCATTTGTACAAACGAGGAAAAGCCGCTCTTTTGTGCTGGACCGTCGTTTCGCGGGAGCCGTATACTCGTGGGAAAAGTTTCAGGGAGGAGAGGGAAAAATTTTCGAATTGTTACACAGCTCTGCTGCCGAGCGTGTATATGAATCGAGGGGCTTTCGAGAGCTTTGGATAAATTTTTTTTTTCTTTTCCCTGTAGCCTTAATTTCCCTTAATTTTGCTGGAAATTTTTTTTTTTTATTACATATAGTATAACAATCCACAAAAAGTTTTCAGCGAAAACTAGTGCAATGTATTTTTAGGGAGTAAAGCTTATTTTAAATAATTTGAAGAAACATTTAAAAAGTATAATATTTTGTTACTGTATTACAAAAATATTGAAAAAAAATCATTCCAGCACAAATAATACTGCATCTATACTTCAAAAATTTCAATGCCAAAAACTTGAAAAAGAGTATAGGTACACCTATGAATGATTTTTTAATTCAAGTTTGGTTAGTGAAATTTTATTGCAGGCTTGGTGTTTAACTTTTTTTTTTGTATCAGTACGTATTAACCAAAATTAAAAGTGTTGATTGAATCAAAAAATTTATTTCAATTAATTTTAACAACATAGCTCTTGTATAGCACTGGAATTTTCGGTGAGCCCGACCGCAAAGAGGCGTGGAGATGCCCCCATCGTCTTCCACGAAGATGAAGCATTTTTTAATTCCGACATCCGATATTACGACGGCAATTTGAGCGATCGTCGGCGCAATTACTTTCGCCCGCGGCTGAATCCACGGCGACGTCTTTCTCGGGCGATGTTAGGACTTAATAATAATAATATCATCATGAGAGGAAATTCGCGTCGTGGCATCGATTTCCGTTTAATTTACCTCCATTAGACGTTATATCGTCATTGTCCGTGGTATCGTAGACGTTTTCACTGCGCTGTGACGAGAAGGTGGGGATAATTCGTGTTTGGCTTTTAATTATTGGGCATTTTCGCGGGAATTTTAATTAACTTTCGTTAATTTGTCGAACGCGTTGGAAAATTTATCATCTTCTACCTCTTCTTTACTACGAGGTAGGTATAGTGTAATTTACCTTGTTTATTTTTTTTTTATCTGCGTAACTGTTGGATGGATAACGGGAATGTTGTCGGGGCAGGTAAAAAATTCTGCACAGCTTTCGAAATTTGCCAGAATAAAAATTTTTTCATTTATTTTAAAATAATTTTATTAGGTGATCTAAAGTTTATTAAAAAAAGAATTTTACTTTCAGTTTTAATAGAGCGAAATTAAAAATTTGTCAACTCAAGTTATGTACACTACAAATAAATAAAAACCTTCCACTGTTAATTAACAATATCTATCATATATTATCTCAGTTAAATAACTCGCAATTGATGTCCAGTAAAATTTTTCGTTGTCACGCACTCACACACCATTCTTTTCTTTAATAAGCTCGACACACACGATACAAACACCAAAAAACTTTATAAATTACTTGCATGTCGTAATACAATAATCCTCAGCTAAACGATGGAATGGACGTAAAATAAACAACCGAATAACTCGACCATACGCTACTTGCACTAAGCATAAAAAAGAGGCCACTCTTTGCATGATTTGATATAGAAAGTAATTTACAAGCTGTCCAGTCGATCGCCACTCTCAGACCACGTCTGTTGATTCCCCAGCGGGCATACCTGTCCAAAAAACACATGTGTGTTTACATTTCGTCCGGGTTGAATGATCTCAAGGCCCCTTGAAAAAAAAAAAAAAATTCAACAACCGAAGGAGCGGAAAAAAGAGAAACACGAAAGTTAATGGAACACGAGGTGGTTGACGTGTGCGAGTGTGCGAGTGTTGGCTCACGGGCAAAAAGTTGTGCGCGCACACGTGTGCGAGCGAACGGCATTACAATTGCAAATTGCGCGAAAAGAAAAGCCAAAGAGGTGAAAGAAAAGCGGGAGGGAAACGAGCGGAATCCCTCGGATTTGCTGATGAGCGCCTGTAGCTGCGCTTGGAAAATCTCTCTAGGCTCGATTAGACCTGGATTTGTTTGGCTTTTTTTTCTGTGTACTTTCTTTTTTTGCAGATATTTTTTTTTTTTCCTCCAGCAGGGCCAGGGAGTGGACTGTTCCTCCTTCCGCTTCGTTTTTTTTTTTTTTTTTTTTTTGTATCTCGAGTGTGCCATTTTCGCTGGGCGCATTGGGACAACTTTGAAAGTTGGGATGTGGTGATGTTGTTTCAGATGACCAAACAAGTTTGGACCTGCGTGGAGACAGGCCTAAACGTGTATCTGTTCAAAGATTATCTACGTGACTAAACGGCAAGTCTTTACCAGTTTACATGGGCAACAATAGAATTATATGAAGGGAGATGGGACCCTGTAGCTCCAATTCAGTTGCAATGAAGGTGCTGAAGGGCCTATTGCTTTTGCTCCATTTGACACTATTCTCCAGAAAACTGCGAGTGATTCGACGAAGCACATAGTTCCTGGTCTCACCAGAACATCATCATCATCATCATCATCATCATCATCATCATCCAGAAATCTAATCGAAATTTCACTACTCGAGACCATCAACGCCAGTGGTTCAAGAGCAAGCCTCTAAAGTATTCCAGTGAACTGGTAAAACGGTTCCACCATCTAGGACTATCTGGATCTACAGGACGAAGCGCACTTCCCGTAAATATCTTTGGATTATTTTACATGAGCTATCTTTAAATTTGGTTCGGCCTTTGATACAGCAAAATATATCCAATCTTATATATACTGAAAACTAAGTACAAGTAAAAAACCCTAAAAAATAATAGTTAACGTTGGGTCGGTCTATAACAAAGTAAATTATTTTGACAGAAATAATAATTTGAGAATGAATTATGAAATATTTTTCACAGTTATTAACTTAAACTTATTGAGTTAAATAAAGATGGCATGTCGTAAACGCTACCAAATATTCTGCGTAATATTATTTTGCGATTACTTATTCATTGCAAAATTTTATAAGACTATTCTACTGTTTAAAATAAATTTAATCAACATGCCAAACTTGCAGATAGTTTATGTTTATGTAAATATTTATTGGGTGCAGTCCTCTATGGTCACATGGAGCATAATTTCATTCCTCATAACAATTCAAAATTAGACTGCGCAATAGAAAGAGCCAAGTAAGTAAAGCATGTATTGATGCAAGTATATTATATTGGAACTTGTCTACTTTGCTCTTATTGGTTCTTTGTTTTGCGCAGAAAGCGCAGAGTCTTATTTCGCTCTTCCTATCAAATCGAGACATTTGGTATTTTGGCCCCTGTCAGTCTGTCACCCTCGCCTCTCCGCGCGGCCGGGTAGGTATTTGGACATTCGGAGTGCGTGAACGGTTTCCTGCGTTTCAGTTATTGTAATTAATTCAAATACTCTTACAACATTGATAATAATTATGTGTAAAACATTATCAGCGGTCTTTACCATTTTACGTTGAGTACGCAGCAATGAAGTGTGTGTAGCTATTGTTGAGGTTATGTCGCTTTGTTGACATTGAAGAAGTTGCCCGGTTGCTAAAGTTCAATAGCTACATACTTAATAGGTCAAAACAAACGCATAGTGTAGGTGATGTTTGATTATTAAAAATCCGGAGTTACCAGGGTCGTTAGAATCAACAGCTGGACTGCAATCCCCCTAAAACAGGATTTACCAGGTGTTGAAGACCTTTAAGATTTTAACTGTCATACATGTAGCGCGTCATGTATATATAACGAAAAACGTCACGGTGCTGCTTGCGAAAGCATAAGTTATAAACTAAATAAAGGTGTAACATAAAACATTCTTCGAAAAAATATTTACATTTCAGCGAATTGAAAGTTAGCTGTACATTTAAGCTGGCTTTAATTGCAGCGTTTCGTTTCGTTTCTTTTCGACCTGTGTTACACACTATTGATTGTCTTTTCTTTTTCGTCAACTTCTTTTTTTTACACGTCATTCAGTCCGTTAAAAGCGCCTTAGTGCGACTTTTGTTTAAGAACGTATTAGGGTATATCCCTAACCCCTTCTACTTATTGTCTTTTAAGAGAAAAACAACAGTGAGTTTGCAAAACTTTATCACATTGATTTGTCATATCAAATAATGTATCAGCTGAACAGTTTGAAAAATATTTTATATTGGTAAGAAATAATTTAATGTGAAATTTCAGTAACATGGATTTTGAAGATCATATTGATAATATCACCACACTGAATCCTAATCATCAAGTGATTAAGTGTCGATGGGTTAAAAAATTACGCCCCAAACAAAACGGTAGACCACAAGTGAGGGAAAAAGGCATGAGACCTTTTGATTCAATGGTTAGTTGGTAAATTTTATTATGTATTGCTTTTATCTTGATACGATTTCTATTAAATACTTTAATCACAGTATGATGCAATAACTCGAGCAGAACCACAGGAGAGTCCCCCCGAACACAATAATGGAAATAAAAAAAAGGTAGTTGAAATAATATTAGTAATAATTTACTTCCTAAAAATAACTACTTTCTATATTAAACCTTATTTATTACCATTTATTCAACAGAATAAGAAGTACAAGAAATATTTCTTCAAACCAAATACAGGAAAGACGTTGTGGAAGGTACTAATTTATGTTTTCTTTTAAACTTAAATCAATCGTTATTTACAAGAAATTTATACATTAGATGAATGGAAATAATCAATGTAATGAAGCTATTGAAGAAAGATTCAAAAAAAGGCAATCGTCGGATAATGATAAGAACAGTTTTACAGATGAGTCTATAGTGTCTAGCCAAAATGACTCCTTCAAAACAGCATTAGAATATTCTTATGAAACACCATCAGGTACGGGGTAAATTGTAGGTATTCAATTTTTAAAACATAATTATCGTCAATGAGATCTTTTTTTATTACAGATTACTCAACAGCTGAAAGTTCTATTCATTGTGATAAAAGCTTTTCTGATGTGGATGATGATGATTTTGTATTTCAGTTACCTGCAGCAATCGCTTCTTGTCACCTTGGCAGTAAAACCAGAAGAGTTAAAAACCTACGTCGTTTTTGATAATTATTATGTAAGCATGAGAACGTGAGTTGTTTCATAACACGATTTTAGCATTTTAAATTTACGTTAAAATAGTTTATATTGAATGTGTAACATTGCTTTGAACAGTTAAAAAGTTTTTATTCCGTTTCATTAAAAGTTGTAACATAAGTTTTGAGTCTTCTGCAAAATGTTGCAAAATATTTTTGCTTGAATATTTTAAGCCATTTTTAACCATTATGCGAGAAAGTTTTTCAAATTAAAAAAAAAGTTCTTGTTTTTATCTTTTGGAACTCTTATATTAAATTAATTAAAAGCTATGTCCTGCTGGATATAATCAAAACAAAGGTTGAATTCTTTTGCGAATGTGATTTTATAATATTTATTGATAATGATGTTAACCAAGTTGCGTCACGAATTTAAATAAGTTTATTCTATTTTACTACCTATTGAAGCACACAAGTGTATTGGTATTTATAATTAGATTGCCATATATCTCAGATCTTAAAATTAAAAGACTTTTGTTATTTTAATTGAAAAAAAAATTATCATTCAGCAAGGAAAAAAATTGCTCGTGTACATTAGACGAGGTTTTAGTTTAAAATTCATGTTTAATCATTTTAATGTATACTTTCTAGACTGAATTGAATAAATGTAACATGTAGCTAATCAACAGCCTGTATCATTCAACTCCTCGATCCTTCGACTTTGATGGAAATTCAACGCAGCTCGTTTACAAAAAAACAGAGTTGAAATCTCCGAGCGCAGCTTCTCATTCCACTTCACACGTATTGCGTTGCACTCTTGTTTATCGAACGAGCGCATCTCTTTTCTGCGAGAGCAAACGCCGTATCCGCCATGGCATCGGCTCCGTTTCTTTCGCAAGCGAGCGAAATTCACGAAGAAGCAACGGGGCCGCGCCACGCGAGAGTGAGAGGTGCTTACTCAAGAGGCGACGCGCACTTGCGACTCCTCGACCATAGGTATATGGGACCCGGGACCTACTTTTACTACCGCGAAGGCAAAGTGCCATGAGGAATAGTTTTATTGCGTGTACGCCGCACGTGGGGGTATACAAGTAGTTATACGGACCGGCAGGTTGAAGGATTTATAGCTGTGGTTTCGCAGGTTTTCCTTTCTTCTCTCCGAATGTCTTTTAGTCTGGCGCTTCTGACCTTCACGAATGAAATTAGTACTTTTGAGGAGGTTTGACATTCGCGCTAAACGCACGGTACAATTTCAGCTGGGATCTTCATTTTCGGGAGGGGTAAAAAGAATTTACGACCCTTCCCAACTGGTGCTGCAAAACTAAGTGAGAACAACATCAATCATCGGGGGACGTGAACTGTTCTCGCGAAGAAAACAAGAAGCATCTCGTACGCTGGTATTAAAAGAGTGGGTGAATGCCGAACACATGAAATAAGTTCGCTCGCCGAAGCTGCGGTGAAAGAGACGGTACAGTATGAAGGGGGTCACTTTAATCAGCACACCATCCTAGAAGAAGTATAGATTATTTTATGGCAACTTCTGGCTCGTCTCCTTCTCACTCTCGCGTCGAAAATTGCGAGTCTTTTTTCTTTCCTCGCGTTAAATTACACACAACGTCGCTCCTCGTTTTCTCCTTGTACATTCAAAAGCTGGGACGCGACGACTTTCTAAAGTCGAGGGCAAAACGAGAGAGGAGCTCTGCACGCATGGGCTCTCCTCTTTCTCGTTTTCGCTCGGAAGGAAAAAGAAAAAAAGTAGTCCTCGTTTCTCTCTCTCTCTCTCCTAATTTGCGTAATCCGGCTAATTGAGACGCGGGCGAGGGAGGATATTTTGTTTCCCATGTCTCTCGTTTTGCGGCATGTCTTTCCTTTGCCACTGTGGCACTTACGCGCGTAGTTTGTGCTTTTTCACACTGATGAATCTTTCGCAAGGTTCTTAAGAGCTGCAGTTTTGACTTTTTTTCGTAGTAATCCGGCAAAAGAGAGGTCGGTGGAATCGTTCTGACGAATTAGGGCTGGTCCCGGAGGACGCGGAGATCAAGGGCTTTTTTTTGTCAGTGACAATTGCTTATATATATACTCACAGTTTGCGGGTAGTAATTCTAAAGGACATTTTCATCCTCTCTCGTCTGTGCACACGAGGATGTAACAATATTGTACTATAACATATGTTTACATTACTATTTCCTGTTTGAATTCTACAAACACCGCGGGTACGCAGAGAGTAATGATTTTGATATGACTTCATGCTACCTATCAAATTATATTTTCTCTTCTACATGCATTTCTTTTGAAGCTCCAGTGACGCTTCTCAAAGCAGCAAAATAGCGTGTATCATAAATGATTCCTCCACTCCAGCCCCGAATCTCATTTTACGGCTGACGTCTTAGGTTCTCGAGTATCTTTGAAGCTCGTCAGCTTATATTTATATTATAAGTAGGTATATGTTGTGTCAATAGCTCAGCTTATAAGTGCATCAATGTACACGTATGTTATTGTTGTAACATCGTCAATCGCAAGGAATTTGTGGCTTGAGCTCAAAGAGACACTGCAAACTCGACATTCCGTTCAAGTAAAAAATAAATACAATTGGGGATATATCATGTAAAAATCGTGTTTGAAAAAAAGTGTTATTCTTAATAAATAAAAAGGTAGATTAACACACGCATGAGATATCATACGTGTGTTAGTATATTAATGTGCTGGTATTGTAAACTTTAACCGGCTTAAAAAGAACATGTGTACTTGTAAGCATGTGAGGCCATGCAGGGGGTGGTAGGATGTGCACGTAAATATACGCGAGATGAAAGGAGATACAACGTGTGAGGGGGTGAGATCAGAGAGCTGGGACATATACATTATATACTAGCGTGCAATACCTACTACATCTAGAGGGTGGAAAATATCGATCGGTCGTAGGACCAATCGTGGTAGAAAAATACACATCTTTATGGTATATGTATATTTACACTTTTAAGCACAAAGTTGAACGTTGAACGAATCGTATGTAAATTGGTAAGGTTCTGTACCAATACAAACAATTGGCAATTTCGCTCTTTCATTCAAACTTTATTGTTTGGGTCCATCACCTTTCTCATCTATGCAGATAAGATAACGGGCATAAATATACATTGTGCATATAGGTATACGGACTCACCCTCATCCAATCGCAGACAAAACACTCTTCTCTTCTTACTTCCTTTTCTCTGCTCCGAAACAAAAATGCTCCTTTCCTCGAAAACACGGGAAAGCTTAGTTGAATGTCAAATCATGCACATCACCCGCGAAAACTTGTATTAACGTCAGTTCACGATTTGTTGTAAAAACGAACATCTCTCTTTTCAGTGAAAGCATCTGAAAAATAAGTGAAATTTCAGGAAAACTGTATCAACTTGGACGTAGCGAGCGCGCTAGCCCCCATCAGGACTCCCAGGAGTCATATGCACCAACAGGCGTGAGGTGCGTGCAGTCACTGTTGCGCCCGTACAAGCGATTATAATATACACATACCCTCTGCTTCGTGGTGTATAAGCCAAGCCCCTCGCACCCTTTTCCAGCGGGGGGTTCTTTCGCCCCGTGCGCAGACGTCGTGTAGATGAGCCGTAGGGGGTACGTTCCTGGGGATTGGTTGAAAATTATTGGGATGCTGTATGCTATGAGGTATGTGTTTGAGAAGCGGTACGTTTTTTTTATACCAGTATGTCATACATTACCTACCGACTGATATGACTGATGAACGCTGCTTCAAGTTAAGATGTGTCGAGGGTGGTTTTTCTTTTTTGAAATTCGTAAATGTGCAAGTAAAAATTATGTACGTTTCTGATTAGATCTATGAAGACATGTATTTTTTTCTTGTCATTGCTACATATATGTATCATATGATTGCACTTACCACCTTACCATAGTCTTGTTTTCATTTACGATCAAAAGTTTGAACGAAAACCCTTGTAGTATATCAGAAGCTGCAATTAAGTTAGTGTATTGTACAATCAGCGCCATCTAGCGTGTGATTTTTCTCGTCGCTCATAGACCCTACTGACGTTTTTTTTGCTTCGGGCGTGATCGGGCTTCTTCGGCGGCTCTCGCTCGCTTGTGTGAATTTCAATCAGCGCCATCTAGCGTGTGATTTTTCTCGTCGCTCATNGGCAAAGTAAAGAGACGAGTAAATATATATATGTATATATATATCAATGTGTTGTTGGAAAGTAACGTCAATTATTAATAAGTATAAGGTTTTTTTTTTTTTTGTAGCATTTTTTGTCTTGCGATTATAAATAAGTATCATTATTTTCGTTGATGATTGTTTTTTCGGCAGATTTAAAGTAACTACATTAGAAAGAAAACTATCATCGTAATGGCAATTTTTCGTGATTTTTCACAATATTATATTTGATTTCAATAAGCCAAAACTAATTTTCATCTGTTAGGAAATTTATAGTCTGGAATCATCAAAAAAGTATGTCAACAATTGCTCGACATCGATGTAAAAATGAAAAACTTGATTGCCTAGATGATGTGTCATCAATAAATGAGTAGAAAAATCTTTAAAATCACCGGAATACAGTAATCATGTATCAATTGCAATCATCTCAATTAAGTATATAAATACCTAAAATCCCAAAATCGTCGATCCGTAAACGAGAGTTTCTTGTGCTTCTTGGAGTAAGTATTGCCCCTTGCATTTCCCAACCAAACATCGTAGCCATGATCAGCGAGTATATGAGCTGCAACAAAAACACGCGCAGGATATTAAATCTTGAAAAACCAATGTTTACTCCTTGACTCTATGGGCTATTATTTAATCTCTTGTCAACATGTATGTAAATGTCAATGTAACAAAGCACCATCGGGTCTATGAGCGACGAGAAAAATCACACGCTAGATGGCGCTGATTGATATACACATACGATATAATATAATATTACGTTAAGTTTCTCAAAAAAGAATTTATACATACGACTAATTTAAGCATTTAAAGTTTTATTCCATTGAATGTAAAATTATTTAAATCCTCATATAAAAATACAGTTTAAGTTTTGTGTTTAAGATGTAAATTACATTCAAAAATTTTCATTGTGCATATTGTATAATTTAAAATCGAACTGTTATTTTTTTATTATTTATTTATTTGTGTAAAATCTATTCATATATTCTACCTAACTATACCTAACACATGGTATTATTTTTTACTCATGTAAATTACTTAGTGTATACTTTTCAATTGTAGCCGTGTTATAGCAAACATGTACTTAACAATTGCCAATAAAAATTATATTTAATTCAATTTTCAAGTTTTTTAAAACTATAAAGTTAAAGAGCTTTGCTTCCATGAATTAATAGTAAAAAGTCTAAAGTACTGTAATTTTATAATTATGGTCGATTTTATAAGCCATATAAGACAAGTAGAATATCTATATTTTTGGAGGTGAATTTTCGGGTAAAAGATAAATTGTTGCCACAAATAGCACAAAACATGTTAACTTTTTATTTCGTACCTATAAGAGTAGTTGCGGCTGGTTTATAATTGATAATATGGCTCTACTGTAAAAATAGAGTAATAATTATTTGGATAAGCGCTATCTAGCGGTCTTCATTTTTGAGCAATTGAGCGTAAAGTGGCCTCTAAAATTCTGAAGCAGAGTTTTAGGGCCTAGAGTCATTTAATCAATTGTAAACCAACCGCAACTGATTGTAAAAGACATAATATAAAAAGTTATAGTTGTTGATGCTGTTTGCGGCAAGTTTACAACTTGTCTTTTACCCAAAAATTGACCTCCTATATATTTATACTTATGGAGGTCAATTTTTGGGTTAAAGATGAATTGTACACGTGCCGTTAACAGGACAGTCAACGTTAACTTTTTATTGTATATCTATATAATTAGTNCAATTAAGTATATAAATACCTAAAATCCCAAAATCGTCGATCCGTAAACGAGAGTTTCTTGTGCTTCTTGGAGTAAGTATTGCCCCTTGCATTTCCCAACCAAACATCGTAGCCATGATCAGCGAGTATATGAGCTGCAACAAAAACACGCGCAGGATATTAAATCTTGAAAAACCAATGTTTACTCCTTGACTCTATGGGCTATTATTTAATCTCTTGTCAACATGTATGTAAATGTCAATGTAACAAAGCACCATCACCGGATCAGTTCCTAATATATATATATATATACTCGAGAAAACCTTACGAAAGGATTTTTTTCCAGCAACCAGCCAATCGGTGGAGCTCTCGAGGAGCCCGTGTTGTATGTAAACAGGCGTCGAGTTGGCTGGGCCGGGTAACCGATGGAGCGTCAAAATATACCCGTCCTCCGTAGTCACCGAGTGCGTCTCTATCAAGTGACCCTCGAGCCTCGTCAATAACTCCACCTGTGAAAAAAATATCATTTACATTAAGCATATACAACAAGTATTACGCGTGTGCTCTGGACAAACACGCGCACTTTTTTTTTTTTTTTTTTTTTTTTTTTTTTTTTTTTACTTACTATACTTAGATGTATATAAGCATGTTCAAGGAAAAAAAAATGTTGGTATTCTGTCTTTCCTGATCCTGCAGTCGTTATAAGCTCATTGTTCATAAAAATATAGTTAATATATTAATATATTATATTACAATCGTTTTCTGAAAATTCATTTACAATGACTTGTGTATCACATAAAAAGTAACTCGAGACTTTTTTCAAAAATTGTATTTCTGCTGCCCACAAAGTAAGGTAATTTTCGAAACCAAAAAGTCATTCTTAATGTGGAAATAAGACTCAAACTAAAGATAAATTGTAATTAAAACTATGTTTATGTACAGTAACGAGCGCAAGTAACGTAGTGATGACAAATATAATAACATACAATAATAACATAAATAAATATCCGTAACTAGATGCAAATGACATCTTAATTACTTTTGAACAATTTGGTTATTGAATACGTTCATCATATCGATGACGTTGGAATAGACGAGCTCGGGTGCTTTGACGCCCCACAGGAAGTCAAAGTGATTGAAATTCGTATGGTTGACCTTGTAAATGCCCAATTTCAAAGGTACTTCGTTGTAAAAATGATAGACGTCCTGAAACGCGCATAAATATTATGCATGAATACAGGGTACGACAAATAACAATTTTCAAACCAAACCACCACGTATATTGCAGGTTGAAGAGATTGTAAAAGTCATATACGTATCGCTCACCTTTTTTCCAACGAGGTAATCGTTTCCCGACCAAAAAACCGCAACGGGCACTTGAACCTTGGACAGGTCGTACTTCGGCGGCTCGCCCGAGTTGTATATCTTGACGTTGCCCTCGTAGCCGTAATCGAAATTACGAAAATCGTTATCGGCTATCTGCTGGAGCCAATGGACAAACAGCTTCATGGACGTGCCCGCGGGAAAGCTGCTCCAGATTTTTTGCAGCAGAGACTATACGAGGGAAATGGTACAAAAGTACGTTATACAAGAGATGACATTTCGTCACACGACACGCAACGAGAAGCACTGATGCGGAGAAAGGTGCATTTACATATATATTATTTTCTCGATACATACAATTACATTATATCCTTTGATTATCCCGAAAAGAAACTCTTTCTGTTGAATTTGTTATTTTACAATTTTTTCCCAAAGGAAAAAAAAAAAATTACACCAAAATGTGTTCAATGTACCTAAATAGAAAGAAGAAAAAATTCTACAAAACGAAATTCCCATTTCAGGCATTTGACGCCTAAATCGAGATGGTACGTTATACACCTTCTTCCACCAAGTGATCGGTAAGTATAATCATCTGAGTATTAAACTTTTTTAAAAAAGGTCACATGTGTATGGCGAAGAAAAAAAATGAAAAAAAAAAAAAAACGATATAATAATGTCCTTACGTAATCAAGCTGCTCGGGATTAAAACCAGCGATCACGAACAAGGAGTTGCCACACAGTACTGTACCGAACATGAATGATCCGCAGATGTACTTTGCGAATGCGTCGAAGAAAGGACCCCTTGGAAGCAGCTCGTGCATACCAATAATGTTTGCGAATCGCTGCAGGAAAACAAAACGAGAGAGACATCGTTAATCGCAAAAATAAAACCATACATTTTTCGACAATTTTATAAATATAGGTAAGACAAGATTGAGTGGAAAGAGTAGCGTGTACGTGTATTTTTACGTCTCACTTTCCTTCAAAAACGAGTTTAACCGTCGATTACGCGATCGAAGCACCGATGCAATATACGCACTCGGAGAAGCCACTTTTTCGGACCTTAAAACACATATATATTGACTCCACGAGGCCATCAACGTGCATCGTAATAAAAAAAAAAAAAAAAAAGGGCATCCCAGGAGGGAATAAGGGAAAAGCGCGCACCTGTATTTTACTCCAAAAAGGCGCGAGCGTTTTGATCGGCGCTCTCATGTGATTGACGTAAGTCGCGGGCGCGAGGGCGAATGCCGCCTTGACTTTCTCGGCGATCTCCGGCCTCTCGATTGCCATTACGGAGAAGGTGGTGGCGCCCATCGAGTGTCCGACGTAAAACAGATTTTGCCGCTTTACGCTCCACACGTACGATATCACGGCCGGCAGGTCGTACACGCCCAATTCATGCCAACTGCAACAACAAGTGTTTGTATACCTACTGTGTATGTATGTATAATATGTGTACCACAGTATATTTTTATATATAAAGGTGTGTCGATTGTCTTCCTGCACGTATATGTTTATACGAGGACTTGTTTTCAAAAGTACACCGAGTGTAATTTATTTTTGGTCCTCGCGAGCGATCTGTTTTTTCTTTCTCGCGGTTATATATAGCGTGATTGGAATTTCGAGGTGCCGCCAATAGTTCCGTATCAGCATGCGCGTTTTTTCTTTTCTTTTTCAACTGTAGTTATTTAAATTACACTAATGGAAGGTCTTGTTGTCATCTCGATGACTAAATGGCAAAGTAAAGAGACGAGTAAATATATATATGTATATATATATCAATGTGTTGTTGGAAAGTAACGTCAATTATTAATAAGTATAAGGTTTTTTTTTTTTTTGTAGCATTTTTTGTCTTGCGATTATAAATAAGTATCATTATTTTCGTTGATGATTGTTTTTTCGGCAGATTTAAAGTAACTACATTAGAAAGAAAACTATCATCGTAATGGCAATTTTTCGTGATTTTTCACAATATTATATTTGATTTCAATAAGCCAAAACTAATTTTCATCTGTTAGGAAATTTATAGTCTGGAATCATCAAAAAAGTATGTCAACAATTGCTCGACATCGATGTAAAAATGAAAAACTTGATTGCCTAGATGATGTGTCATCAATAAATGAGTAGAAAAATCTTTAAAATCACCGGAATACAGTAATCATGTATCAATTGCAATCATCTCAATTAAGTATATAAATACCTAAAATCCCAAAATCGTCGATCCGTAAACGAGAGTTTCTTGTGCTTCTTGGAGTAAGTATTGCCCCTTGCATTTCCCAACCAAACATCGTAGCCATGATCAGCGAGTATATGAGCTGCAACAAAAACACGCGCAGGATATTAAATCTTGAAAAACCAATGTTTACTCCTTGACTCTATGGGCTATTATTTAATCTCTTGTCAACATGTATGTAAATGTCAATGTAACAAAGCACCATCACCGGATCAGTTCCTAATATATATATATATATACTCGAGAAAACCTTACGAAAGGATTTTTTTCCAGCAACCAGCCAATCGGTGGAGCTCTCGAGGAGCCCGTGTTGTATGTAAACAGGCGTCGAGTTGGCTGGGCCGGGTAACCGATGGAGCGTCAAAATATACCCGTCCTCCGTAGTCACCGAGTGCGTCTCTATCAAGTGACCCTCGAGCCTCGTCAATAACTCCACCTGTGAAAAAAATATCATTTACATTAAGCATATACAACAAGTATTACGCGTGTGCTCTGGACAAACACGCGCACTTTTTTTTTTTTTTTTTTTTTTTTTTTTTTTTTTTTTTCTTTCAAATTCAAACGTCTCTCGATACTCGAGAGCGACAGCGAGTTGGAAATTAAATAACACGCGGATGCGCCGTCGCTCTCGACCGGGTATTTGAAACCTATTATGCTTGCGCCGAGGTTTTTGTACAATTTGCATTCGCACACACGCACGTACGTTTTTTTCAATGAAGATTACAAGTTGTTTTTTCAATGACCAAGTTCATTGTCGGTGCAGACGAGAACTCGGTCGTACGGCCGATAGATCACGCCTGCTCTTCGTGATACATATATACGCATACATTAGAATGTAGAACCGATGGGATTGTCTTTGAAAATTCGGACTCGCCTACATTTTTCGGGGTACTAACACGTAACAATCGTTTGGAGGAAAAACAAATCCACCACAAAGGTAACACGCAGGTGCATGCACGCAGGTCCAAAAAAGGCCCTACCGATCTGCGCCACCGATCGAGCGTCAAAGATTCATACGAGATCGACGCGCTTATGGGTATATTGACAGCGTGCACCAATCGACACTCACATCATTGATTGTACCTCTCGAACAATTAACGTACGTTGTATCCTGTGCAACTTTTTTTTTAGTAAAATATAGACGCGTGTCGCAACGTAACTCTGCGCACAATCGTCCTTCCCCCATATTTATGTACAAGGAAAAACGATGCAAATGCAACTGCGAATGAAAGAAAAAAAAAAAAAGAAAAAAAGAAAAAAAAAAGATCGCGAATTAAGAGCACTGCACACACACTCACCGTCCCAGCAGGTTCAAGCGGTTCATTATCTCCTCGGTTTGGCAAAAGCAACTTTTCGCCAGCGTCGCGATCGGCATTGGTAGTGGTGCCATCGAGAGCCATACCCGCGTCGGTGGTATTTGTACCGCCCGATCGGTAGCGCATACCAAACAGACCGGCCATTCGCGCGGCAAGGTCGCGAAAAGCCAAGTCCGCGCCGGCCGGCTGGGTAAACACTATCAACTGCACCATCGCCAGCACCGACAGCCCCACAAACGCCGAACCGGCTGCCGATAGATGGATTTTTCTTTCCGTTGGCCCCATGTTTTAATACCTTTGTACTTACTGCACACACACACACACACATATATATATATGTGCAACTATTATGAACGATAATCGCACTTTTGGGGCCGGCGCAAACACGAGTGTGACGCGAACGAGCCAAAGGTGCCGATGATGGTCAAAGCGAGTAAAGCACCGCTTGATCAACAGATTTTTTTTTTTCTTTTTTATATGCTCAATCCATGTGTTGTATGTGTACGCGCCTGAAACTGCATTTATTGAAATCGTGTCCTTGACGAGCAACAAAAACTAGTCAGGAAGTCTTGAGCGACGAAGACACGAAAAAATGCAACAACACACTCGTCAACGCACGCATCACCGGGACCAAGGAAAATCGGCAAGATTGGCGCGTGTTTTTGTTGTCAAAAAGCACTGGAGCACCCTTCGGGGATGAGTAGGTACCCATGGAAATGGCGTGAAAAACCGATCCATCTTTGTGACGCGCGAAAATGGCCCAAATCAATGGCGTGGGACCTCCACGGACACGGTCGTGTTTTTTTCTCAACTCAGAAAGCGCGCCACGACTGTTCGCTTTTCGAGAGCGGCTCTCGCGCTCCTCGCCGTCGTCTTTATACTTCATACATTGTACATATATATATGTATACAACATAAGGTCTCTTACTCTTATTGCCACCTTGTCTCTCCCTCTCTATCTCTCTCTCTCTCTCTGTGAGTGTAAGTACGCACAGCACACCCATTGCACATGAATAGTCGTAAAGCACGAGGTACGTTAGGCGCAATGCGCGATGCGCTTTCAAATCGCACTCATTTACCGAAAACGTGAACGCGCATTGTGTACATAATATAGGTACGTTGCACTGCAGAGACATGGACTCACGTCCAAACAAACAAACAAAAAAAATAGCGTACGCGCGATGGGTAATCCGCTGGACGATTTTTCATGTTTTCTCTTCTTCCTTGTACAATTGTGAGTTGAGAGAGGGTCTACGGAAAAAAAATTGCAGCAGAGGTGAAAACAAGATCTTGAGACAAAGATTTTTTGAAATTTAAGAAAAGAATGCTTTTTTTCTGTGAACCCTATCAGTTCTTGGATTGAAAATTTACAAAAAGTTGTGCATGAATTCGTTGGGTTTTTTTTTTTTTTTTTTTTTTCGAACCAGTATAGATCGGCTTATTGTTTTTGTATTTCCTCTGAACCTCGGCGAGCGAAAAACACAAAGTTTTAGAACAAACAAGCTACATGCACTTACGTATGCGCATCGCAATCGGCGGTAACAAGAATTTTTAAATCTGTCTTAAAAAAAAATGTGGTTTTGATACAACTTGTTAACATATTTATAGATCCGTTGATTGTCTTTGTTATTATCGTCCATCATGGATACATAGGTGCAGGTGTATAAGCACAACTGGTATATTTTCATGAAGCGCTGATCTAACAAATAATCCCACCGATGTGTATAGGTATACCTTGTTTCGTTGTTATCGAAAATCACTGGACAAAAATCGGCTATAAATCTTCATAAGATTTTTCCAAGTACTACTCATCCGTCTCGTTAAAAAAACGACGCTACATTAATGCACGCCGCACTCGGGTATGAGCGCGATTAATTTCCAAGACATTGGAATATTTATAGAACACGAGACGAGGCAAAGGATGGAAAAAATAAAGTTTTTATCGTATATACACGCACTGCGAATAATCAGTTATGTTAACAAAAGCCTCTCGCTTGAAAAGCAAAAATAACAAATTAGTTTTTCAATCGTTGCCGAAACAACTGTACATTTATATCCATGTTTCCGATGTACAAGCGATTTTCCGACGCAAAATCAAATGTAGACGCGCGTACAGGTGTTGGTAAATTTACAAACAGGTATTATTTATTATCATCGCCCTTTGAATTTTCAAATGTCCTGCGAACCAATGAATAAACCGATCGTCGATCGGACAGCCGTTAGGTAAGTAAATAAACAGGCTTTCTCCGAATCGGCCGTTCGTTTGGTACCAGAGTGTCGATTTACCGATATCAGTAGCGCGTAGATCCACCGTAGCGTGAAGATCACAACGAGTGAAATGCGATAAAATCGCAAAAGAAGAAACTACTCTCAATTGTAAGTATGAATATACACATGTATTATCGACCAAAAGACGTAACGCGTTATCGATACAATACATATAACATCCGTAATGAAGGACAATGGCGCAAAGCCAGCATCTGGAGGTCAACCCCGACCTAAACGAGGACAAGGGCTTCGTGTGGCGAGCCGTGCCCAAGATGCCCCGCAGCTACAAGCACCTCCACCGGGTCAACGGGAAGTGCAGCTACCTGTCGGTTCGTTACTACCGGGAGGCGCGGGACCGCTGTTACGACGAGTCCGGGGTAGTTAACAACCGCATCCTCGACCCAACGAGCGCGACGAAGGTCCTCTCGCTGGTGAACGCCAGTTTGGCCTTCGCGCATCCCAACTCGGCCCACCTGCCCGAGGTGTACGAGCTCCAGGCGCTCGTGCAAACCCGGTGGAGGAACCTCCCCGCCGGGCCGGTCCTCGCGCCACCACCCAAGATCATATACAGCGGGGTGCGGGACACCCTCGACATCGTGGCCGCCCGGGTAGTGGCCAGGCGCCACGTCGCACCCATGGAGGGGCTGGCCATTGAGGACGCCGTGGTAGCCACGGTCAACCCTAACAAGATTTACCTGCTCTGCGCCCACTGCCTCGGCCTGTGTCTGAGCGCCGTGGCCTGCGCCAGGTGCAGCCGGGTGGTTTACTGCTCGGAGCGGTGCCGGGAGTACGCCCGGGTCAAGTACCACAACCGCGAGTGCAAGCTCGTGGGCTACTTGTGGGAGGACGACGACGACAGGCTGGGCTGTTTGGCGCTCGCGCGGCTGCTCCTCGTCGCCGTGGACGACGTGGGCAGCCTCGAGAACTTGGTCGCTGCCGTGTACGGACCTACGGGTGCGACATACGTGGTTACATTTTCCTATTTGGAAATTACCTCCTGGTAAGAGATCAAAAAACGCCTTTTTTTTCTTGTTCCCCCAGATCTGTCCGGTCTGGATGACGTGCACGTAAACCTACATCCGGCGATCGTGTACCAGCAGAGGCGCGTGGACCTGTCCGAGGAGTTGGAGGAAAACACGGGAGACGAGGTTTTTGGGAGCGCGAGAGAGAGAAGGGTGTTCTCGATCATTTGCGAGATCGTGTTCGTCCTGGCCACGAGGACCACGTTTTTCGGTCGGCGCTTGTCCGGTTTCAGAGACAAAGGCATCCACCAACTTCTCTGTGCTCACGAGGGGACCGTCCTCGCCGTGATTCTACTCTGGCGGAGCTACTTCATGTTCCCGCGAAGTTACCACTCGGTACTCTCATACTACATTCCTCCACGATCTCTCACCTTTTAACATATTTATATACATGATAGCAATAATAATTATGATTGGCGCTTGAATAAAATGTAGTTCGTGGCTCTTTGTCCCGTTTGCAACAAAACCAGCTACGCAGGGATCGGCGTGTACCCGTTCAGTGGATACTTTGAGTACAGCTGCAACCCAAACGCGAGCTACTTCATTTCCAAAGACAATCAGTTGATTGTTTACGCCACCCAAAAGATATACGGTGGCTATAAGGTATTATACGTGCGCTTTCTCGATTTGTCGTACCCGTTAACGAAAGAATGTAGTGTGTAAGTAATCGTGGACTTTAATGTTTCCTGCAGGTAAAGCTACCTTACGTCGATCGCAACGTCATTAATCGCGGACCGAACAACAACCCTGGATTTTTCAAACGCCACTGCAGCACCGACTGCAAATGCTCAAACTACTTGTACGCCGTTTAATTCCTTTCGTTTTTCATCTCTCAGATTTTAAACACATTTCAAAGCTCAATTTCATGTTATCGTCCGACCTCCAAGTACTTATTTTTCGGAGGGTTCTTTTTTTTTTTATTCAGCGTCATTAGGAATCGTTTTAGTTCTAAATGTTGTTTTTTAAATTCTCACACCCTCTTTTAAAATGCCTTCGATAAATTGTAACGCACTAACTTTTTCTTTGCATGTAATTTTTATAACGCGTAGGTTTTTTTTTTTTTTTTTTTTTTTACCAGCAAAAAACTTTTCTCGGCACTATGTATAAAATGTTTAACAGTTCAGGACAAACGCTAGATTATTTTCATGCAGTAAATTAAAAAAACAAGTCTTGATTGTTGAAACCGTCCTCTTGAAATTTCAAATGTAGTCGTTTCAACAAACTATGTAATATTTAACCACCGTTTATCGTCTGCTTTGTCGGTAAATAGTTACATATAGTTGTATGTACTATATATATTTGTGTGAATCACTTGTTGATAACGTGGGTGTGTTTGTGATAAACACAATTTCACTTTTCTGGCCAACAAGTAAAGGTTATACGTATTCGTGGCACTGGACGATACCTTTGTAGATCGAAGACAACATTTATTTACCTGCGACTATAAGTGTAAGTATTGCAGCAGTTTTCAAGTGGATCATAAAAAAAGTAAGCTTAGCAGTGTAATAATATAACTACTTGGAGGGTTAAAGGTATTCAACAAAACGTATATTTTTGTTTTTTAGATGATCATCTTTCAAAAGAATTTGAGCTTTTTTACATTTTCTTATTTTCCTTTTTTACTTTGACATAATCATTTTCATGATTGAACGTAAATGTATACATTCATAACACTTGTATTGTTTGTCATTATTTATCAAACTGTGTATTATTTATGATTTTGGATTAAAAATATTTTAATAATAATAATAATAATAATGTCAAAAACTATTGAATCGATTCATTTATTCCCAACTAATGCTCGTTTTTCTGTTATTTTGGGGGGAATCTAACATATAACGTATATTGTTTATCTACCAACTAAAAAATTTATTTATTTCGTTATCATTAAGGATATTTGGGTATAGGATACATACAGGGTTAATTGGGATGTTTGTACAAATATATACTTCTGGCCAACATCGTAAATATATAGATGTACTTCGTCGTACAAAAAATAGTCTATACGTGAACAATGGAAGAGAGAACTCAAGTTGGAGCACGTGTCACGCATTTCATTAAGCATTAAGGTGGTTCCAGCGCCTAGTGCCGTATCAAAATGGGGAGACTAAAAATTAATCATTATTTTCTTTAAAATATGGTATAAAATTATCGTAGAGACTGTTGTAAGCCATATTCTACATTTTATCTGTTACTTTAGTGAGTTAATATAAAAAAACAAAAAAGTTTTATGGTGCCCTAATTGATGAACTGTTACGGTACGCTCCTAACTTCAAGAGTAGTTATACCTATATATATGTACTCTGCAGAATGCAGACAGCTGAGAGCTGACTTGCACTCGCAACTGTATACTTAGTCTCCGATTATTTAAAGATTTTGTTCGATAACAAGACACTTTTCTCATGTCATCGAAAACT